CGGGGACTATCGTCTGAAATAATTTCGGGTGGCTCGGGTTACTCAACCCGAAGGCACAAAGCCTATTAGGCGATGCCTAAACCTAAAAGGCTACGGCCACCCTAGAAACGGTTCAGAGATGTCCGAAGTCCGTAATCAGAACATATGGCCTTCAACAAAATTCTAAACCTGTTCAAACATTACCCTCGGCAAAGATATAGTCTAAAAACATTTAAGGGAGCATCTTAGGGAAATTTCCGGTCACTCCGAGTTTCTACAAGTTTCGAGCAAAAATTGCATCGAGGACGGGTTTTGTTCGGACCACCGAAAAATGACTTATTACTACGTTTGATTTTGTGCTAAGGCATTAGAAATATTTGCAATTATAAAAAGATGGTAAGATAATAGACTTGAAAATTGCCAAAAGGGAAAAACTTTATATACTCCGGAATATCTTTACAAAGGCCCAGCAAAAATGGCCTCAACAAAATATATGTACAGGATACAAAACAAAAAAAATCCTAAGGCATCTACGCCTGATCTTCACCAGAACCCGACTCGTCACCAGAACCGTCGGGGCCTTCGGATTCTTCAAAGCCCTCGGAACCCTCTTCTCCTCGGGGTTCGGCCAGCTTCTTGGCCTCGACCTCAAGTCTTTTTGCCTCCTCGATCTCGGCAAATAGGTCAAAGCCTCAGGCATGGATTTCTTTGAGGGTCTCCCTTCGGGATAGCCGCCTCACGTACTCGGTAGTGGTCTTCAGGCGGGCCTCGGCTACTTCCACATCGGCCTTGTATTGGGACACCATCTCGTGAGCATCCGCCGAGGTTATCTCCAACCTGGACCTCGTTATTTTGAGCTCCTTATCTTGGGCGTCCCGTTCAGCGATGGTCGAGCCCAGTTATGCTTGGAGGTCCTCATTTTGCTGAGCCCGTGCATCAGCCTTCTCTTTTGCCACCTGAAGCTGAACTTCCAGCGAAGACAGCTTGGCCTGGGCGGTCTCCTTCTCCGAGGCCAGCAGGTCCATCTTGTTTTTCCACCTGTCGGCCATTACTTGTATCTCATCCATCTCCTTACGGAGTTGGTCGATCTGGTCGATCTTTTGATGGACATGCAAAGTATTGTAGGTAGCCTCTACGACCGAACCCTCGTTTCTAACTGCAAAAACTTTTACCTTTTCCTCAAAGTCGGCGTGCTCCTGCCTTAAGGCCAGTGCTTCTTTCTGAGTTGCATCCAGCAAGGCCTGGAGGTTCTTGGCGACCCCCTCTCGCTGCTCGCTAAGAAGCTTGTACATGTCCCTTTTTTGGGCAAGCTCATTGATCTCGAGCTCGAGTTGATTTACCTCAACCCGGAACCGAAGGAAACTCTCGTGGTGAAGTACTGAGGCCTGCAAAAGGGAGAAAAATGTGAGAAATATCAAATGCAGATAACAATAGATCGATGGAAAGAAAATGTGACCCGGTTTAGCGCCTGATGCGCCTCATTGAAAAGGTATGGCACATTCCCCTCATTCATTTTTGCCTGATCCTCATCGGTCACCAGGCACCGGAGGTAGCTAGCTACCCCCACAGGAGCGGACAAAACTCGGGTATCCTCCGAATAAGTATAATCGATCTTTTGCAACCGGGGTCCACACTCGGAGTAGGGAACTGATTGATCAATTTCGGGCTCGAGCTCGGCCTGCCAGTTTCTGAGGATGTGTCCTTCTTCGGAACTTCCAGGTCGCCTAGATCGGAGAAGTCTTCCAAAGCCAACGAATCCACAACGTAGAAATAGGAGTGAAGGAGATCTTCCGCACCATGGACCCCCTCGTTGGACTTCTCCATTCTCGCTTGGGCCTCATCGAGCATGGAATCAATATAGGAGGGCATCCCCGAGATCTCAATTACACCGGGTGCTTCCTTTGGAGCGGAGCCGGCATCCTGGGAAGTTTCACCCCGGGTAGCCACGTCGGTCTTTTGAGTTTGAGGGGGGTCGATCTCACGAGTCTCCCCCTCGGATGCGTCCGAGTCCCTGGGATAGGTCATCCCATAGGTAACAAAAATAGATTCATCCTCCAGCTCATCCCTAAGCCGGAGGAAGGAGTCGGAGTCCTGCACCCGGGAACTGGAGCCCATCCTGGGCTTGCAGAAGCACACATTTCTTTGGTTTCATTACCTCCGAGCCCGGGGAGCCTGAGGGTTCTCTTTCTCTTCTTTTTTTCCTCCATGGCAGCAACCGACGGGGCACATCTTCATCCCCTTTCGAAGGCCTAAGTTAGGTGGTCTTAGTCAAACCTGCAATAACAAAGAGGAAGAGGAATTATTATAATAAAAGGTAGAAACGTAGTATTGGCTACTCATAAAGAGGCCTTACCATGAGAACGGGCCTCCCATCGGCCCTTCGAGAGTACGCGCCATCTGCGCTCGAAGTATAACATCTGAGCACAAATGCCCTCGATCTATTCTTTCAATCGGGGAACCGTATTTAGAACCCGGGCGGCGACTGTACAACCATAGCATGAATGAGAAGATAGAAATTAAAGAAAACTAATTTTGATATTTAAAGGGAGATTGCACTTACGAGATGCATTCCACTTTTCATGGAATGGCATGTATTCAGGGGGGATCAAATCCTCAATTTTCACTCGGACAAAGCGTCCCTGCCAGCTCCGGTCTCGGTCTTCGTCGATACTCGAAAAAGGGTCCTTGCTGGCCCGTCGAGTAAGCTTGATCAGTCCCCCTCAGAACATTCGGGGACTGTATAATCGGAGCAAGTGATCGATCGTGAACCGACGAGACTCGGTCTTGTTCACGAAGTAGCGGAGAAAGGTCACGATCCTCCACAATGATGGATGGATTTGCCCGAGGCACACCTTGTATCTCTTGCAAAAGTCTAGAACGATCGGGTCCATCAGGCCCAGTGTGAAGGGATAAGTGTAAATACTTAAGTACCCCTCCACGTGGGTAGTAACAGCGTCCTCGGGCCCGGGGACTACTACGTTCTTGCCTTCCCAATTGAAGTCTTTACGAACTATGGGAAGAACATCTCCAGTCACAGAACATATGTACCTCTAGACTCCTTCACCCCGGTCCTATTTGCGCGAAGGCTTCTCGACTTTAAAGTCATCAGGAATTGAGAAGCCCTCGGGAATGAACGCTGTCATGGGAGGATCGGCGGCCGGTTCATTAGCAACCACAACGAGGGAAGCCGTTTTGAGGGCAACCACTTCAGGGGCAACCGCTTCAGTACCAGCAGCCGGTTGAGAAGATGAAGAGGCAACTTGTCGAGGAACAGTTTTCGATGTTTTGGCCATTGTCATCTGGGGGAGTGTTTGAAAATTTGAGGAAAGAATGCAAAGTTTTGGAAGAATGGATTTTGAAGATGAAGAATATAGTATGAAGATTTAAAGAAAATCTAGGCAAAATTTGGAAATTACTATGGAGATTGAAGAACAAGGATGAAGATATGAAGGTTTGAAGAATGTTTGATGATGGTTAGAAAGCTCGAAGATAGTAATTTAGTCGAAAAGTAGAAAAAGAACAAAGGAAGGAAGCTTTTTTAGGGAAACAGCAGACGCTTCACATTCGGGGGCAACCTGCCGATGAGCGACACGTGTCCGAAGTCAGAACGATGTGACTGACTGGACGTTTCGACTCCCTCGTCGTAACGTACGAAGGAAGGAACCGGAGTCATCTATCGTTTCTCATTGTTTCGGCAAGCCTACTCTCTGAAAAACGAGGGGACTATCTGTATACAGGTAAACCCGAGTCCAGTGAGCACTCCGGTTTACCGGTGAGGCAGACGGAGCAGGAACGTGACCGTACAGAATCAGAGTCAGAGCGAGGAACCCCTCATATCGGGGCTCGAGCAAAACACCTGCCTCGGGAGAATCGGGACCACGTCCTCCGGTCCGGTTCGAGCCTCAAGACTTCGGAGAGCATTACTAGACAGCTGCACGCGACTAACAAAGGGCTGTGATGTCCGTGTCCAACTGGATATCACAGCGTGAATCTCGGCCCGTATCGGCAGAAAATCAGTGATTTGCGAAACGAAAGATTTTTACCTTTCTTAAAATTGTACGTAGAGTAAAATTCCCTCACTATATAAAGGGAAAGCTTATTGTTCATTAGACACATTGTAACACGCATACCCAGGCAATTTACTTCTATTCTCTCTGTTTTTTCAAAGTTCTTATTTTTGTTCATAAGTTCCTCATAAGTGCATGCTCGGAATCGAAGGCAGGTTCCACATTGAGCCATTAATCGAGCTCGGGATCACTCTTATCATTGGTTTGGCCATTTATCACGTCTTTCATTTGCTTAATCTAACGTCATTAATCACTTGTATTGAATTAATCCTATCCTTAGAACTGCGTGTAAATTCAATTGTTATTAAGAGTAAACAAGCGCACATTCTTCTCATATTGACTAAGGAAGTTTGATAAAAGGAAAGTTGTTTTGAATTTTCCTTTTTCCAAATCCAATTCAGAGTTCTTCTGAATAATGTTCCTTTCTCTGTCGTCATTAACATATTAGTAATACGAAAATTCAACTTCTGCTTACTGTTTAACAAAAAAATATACTTAAATAGATCATCTTTGTCATCTCGATTACGGCGTGTTTCTTTTATTTAAATTTAAATTACATTAAGTTGTATTTGGACATGGTCCACACCTTCGGCGTTTCCTTTCTGTTGAGACATAAATGAAGTATTTGGTTATCACGTCCCACAAAAACCTTTTATTTTAGAGTTAAACTTTTTATACGCAAATAATATAAATAATTTTGTATACTATCGGATCATTTAAATGATAATTACTACTAATCTTTTATTAAAAAATAAGACATGTTAAGCTACATTTAAATCCTTTATTACTCCATTTGCAATTGATATAATCCTTTATATCAATTCTATGAGCCCAATCCTTTTCGAGCCCCTTTTTATATTTCTGTTTAACGCCACTCCAGATATACATTTCATGCCAATATGTCCCAACGATTCATTAAATTATAAATACCTCCACCAATATAGTGTCTTCAATCATTAAAAGCTTAAGTTGCTTTTCCCACTCTCCAAAGTTGCGCTGTTATCTTAATTAGTAGCTCCCCCACCTATTTATTTTCTCCCTATCCATCTTTATAATTTCTTGCATATTTATATATCTAATAGTCGAATTTTCTATATATCTTCTTCAGTCCTGATCATAGCGACTTGTACAAATTGTGAAAATGAGCGCAAAGGCTAACAAAGAAAGCAGAATTAAGAAGTGCATAAAAGCACCCATCAGAGTTTTAATTAAAGCCAGGGATTTTTATGTCCATAGCCTGATGGATTGTTCTGGTACAATTGGCTATGGAACTGTTATGGGTTGTCCTGCTGTTGCGCAAATCTCCTCTTTGCCTAGAAGTTTCAGTGCCAATTCTTCTTTGTCAAGTAAGGATGAAGATTTCAGGGAGCTGGTGCGAATTGCTTCGAAAAGGAGTCTTGTAAACAAAGTGGAAACGGAGATTCTGAGGCAAAAATCACTTGCTAAAAATGGGGTGAATATTAATGTGGTAGCTAGGAGTCGTTCTGTTGCTATTGGAAGAATTGATGAAGATAAGCCGTGTGATTTTGGTGAGGATGTTAAAGTGAATACAGATGTGTTTCAAAGAAGTAGAAGCTATGCTGTTTCTTCTAGAAGAAAAGGGATATTGTTCTGAAACAGAGTGCTATAAGGGAAGAAAATTTGGAAGAAGGGAAACAAGGCCAGCTGTTGTAATAGTTTCTTCTTACTGTTTCTTGGATTGTTTTTGTTATTCCTCTTTCCTTGTTGTGATGGTATACTGTTGCATATACATGTTCACTTACTTGTCAATTCTCCATGTAATGAACTCAACATCTTTCATTCTCAAGTTGCCCTGCTTCTTCCTGTTGTTCTGTAAAGGGTAAATTATTCATGTATTAGGAGTAACACAACTAATAGTACTATCTTTGGGAGCGCCTTTAGTTACTTCGCACAAGTATTATGTTTGATTCCTTTTATATTGGGGTAGAAGTAATATATGGATAAATTATATAACAAATCTGTATAAATCTATGAATTTTTTTTTTTGCAAGATAAAATGTGAAATAACTAATACATGTATTAGTAATATATGGATTAAACAAACAAATAACCAAAAAACACTCATTATAATTAGTTTACACATTGTATAATTAAAATAAAGTAATTTAACAAAAAATAATCTTTGCATTACAATTCATGCATTACTAATCATTATATAACTAATCCTTCACTAACTCTAACCAACAACCAAAAGAATCCGTAATTGGAGGTGAACTTTCGGTTAGTATGAAGTATGAACTCGCAAGTGGAAAATAAATCTGTGCATAAACAAAGATTTGTGTGTAAAATCGTTATTTCAATGGAAATACTCCCAATCCAGTAATTTTACCCTATTCCAAAACCAGTAATTCAATATTTCACCCTATTCCAAATACAAGCTAAAGAGTTCTGGTCTTTGTAAATACTGATGGTCAAACCAGTATTTACAAGTTCTGTATTTGAGACATTAAAAGGGCCTTTAATATTTTAAATCAATGCATGCAGAATACTATTGCACCTGCTATTACTTTATGTCAATAGGTGTAAACCAATCATAAATATACAATTTATACACATTCAAATACTCCTACCTACATATAGAACTGTGTCCAAATTAAGGCGATTGAACGCAGTAAGTGCACCAACAAGGGTTGTGGTGGAGTGATAAGTACTTTTTCATTCTAAAATAAAGTTTTGGGTTTAAGTTCCGGGTATGGAGTCGTCTTTGTTAAGGAGCACTTTACCCTCAATGTGGGACTTCTGATGCGGACCGAATTTAGTCAGGCCCTAATATGGGTATCGGATAACGAATAAAAAATCATTAAAAAAATACAGTAAGTACGATCGCGCACGCTGTAGACACACTACATCTTTTACTACTTACTGTGAATCTGTGCTGAAAACAAGTTTGTTGCACTTATTTTTCATCTGTTCAAATTTATTTGTTCACTATATAAAGATAGATGCTTATTTTTACTTGTTTAGTTTGAAAAACCAATAGATAATTTATCATTTTATACTTATTTTACCCTTCTTATTAGTACTACTTATTTTTAATTTATTTTCCAACCTATAATAAATAAGAGTGATTATAGTAAAATTATCATGGTATATATTATCTTTTAAGGAGTGTGCTAAGTTAATTGTAGTGGACAAAGTATGTGTCAACTTGACCTGTACATTTCAGCTTCGCGCTCTCACTCAGTCGTATGCCAATTGATGAGTATATTTATTGTCATTCCAGAGTCATTCATGCACTTGTCTTTCAAGTAATTTTTCAGCGTTATCCAAATCTAGGCGACACTCTTCGTGAGTTCGTGCTACCTTTACGAAATTAACTCACACATATATTCTTGATTTATGCATGTCTCAAATTTCAATATCGTTTAAAAAAACAAAGTTATCTATAAGGTTGAAATGAGATTGTAGAATGTTAGAAAAAGTTGGTAGATGTTTTGTTTCGTTTCTACTATATTTTCCTGTGAATTCGTAGTACTCCATTATCATTTAGACATTTACTTAACGATGAAATGTATGACACAGAATGGTAAAGAGATTTGAAGTAATATCCAACCCCCTCAAAAATGTTTGTTGATCTATTTTTCCTCATTTATTAGTTAAATTCTAAGATATTCAAAGTCCTTCTTACTGATGTTGACGAAAACCTAGCAAGCAATGAAGTTTTCCATAGATGTTAAGATAAGGACAACATCGCTTCGTGAAAATGTTAACTTAGTTAAACTACTTGTTACCATAGGAGGTAAGCATAAATTTTGACAAGTAGAAGCGATGCACCTTTCTTTATAAGAGGATAGGTCAGTGACTGATCCTCATTCTAATTTTGCGCAAAAGAGTAAGATTTTTAATTGTGTGAGATGATCTAATCGCAATCACTTCTTGAATTCCAAGTGGAGCATCCTATGAGGCTCTTTGTTTAATTCAGACCAATAAGAGAAAGTTTATGAATGCCTAGTACAAATATTTGCAAAAGCAAGCGATGAGATGATCAGGATTCGGAAAGTGATTGAAAATAACCAGCTTTAAATTACAGTAGTGATTTTCAGTTGTCCACTTCAATTGTCAGGCGTGAACCAACAAATACTATATAGAAAAGAAAATCAATTGATAATGGTAAACTAATTGTCCCACGTATGGCAAGCTAATTGATTTCTTAGGTTAAAATTTCTTTCCCACTTTTGTTAGGTGGAATAATTCTAGTTTTAATATTGTTTGTAGTTGAAGAAATTTTCAGACTTACATCATAATTGTCTTTCATAATAGGTAATTTTATTATTGTAATCCTCGGAAAACAACAGAATTTAGACAAGTTCACAGTGATGGCCTCATCGCGATAGGAGACAATAATTAAGAATGAAGGCTTTGATAATCCTTGTTTAATTATTTGTCAAATTGCTCAGCCGCCATGCTATGAGCAGTGGGCGCAAGCATTGTTTTTTAAAGTGTTTGGATAGTTCAACAAAAGGCAATTTGCATCTACATATAATCATAACAGATTCCACTTAATTGGGATATTAACTGCAGCATTAGCTAATTTAACAAATCACAGTAGCAAACCATGGATGTGTTGGTGGCTCTGGAGGTTGAATCTTCATTCTGATTATTTCTCTGCTTTAGTTAGTTGGTAATTAATGTAATTATAAATTTGTTGAGGATGAGATATGGACAGTGGTCCTCAACCCATAATTAAGACCTCACTTTAGCCTCTTAAGAAGAGATATGATAATCGGCATAATAATGACTTTGCACTTCTGTTTCTGCCCGACCACCCTTTCCTGAAAAGGATACATATAAATAACAGGAACATTGGATGCACATCAGCACACTGAGTTTAGAAAAATTAAATAATTTAATTTATATTCATTGACGATGTAAACTTTTTTACATGATCTATTAAACAACTCATCTGTTTTATTTTACAAATTATTCATTTCACTTATTTTAAACAATTACTTATAGTTACTACTATCTTTTAAGTGATTATAACCTAATATTTGTGATCACGTAAAATAAACCTCATTCTATTTGTGTTTTTTCCCCTTCAACTAGTTAGTTAGTATAAAACTTGAAAATGAAATAAAGCTGTTATGAAGAAGAGGAAGAAGCTTATGTTTTGTATTGTGAATGTAGACACTATAAATGTTTTGATGCAAGATACGAGAAATAATATATTCTTAAGGAATTATGGTGGCTTTAGGTATAGGTAAGAGGAGAAATATGAAAGACAAGAAATCTGATAATGTTTTTCTGCTCAATAGACATGCAACAAAAATGTTTTGCAATGATAATTTTTAATTGTCAATAGAGAGAAGTCCTTATTTTTATGGTGAATAGATTTGTTTAAGAACATGACCATGAGTTTATTTCGCCAAAATAGAGACATCTTCTAAGATTTGCTTGTTCGATAACTAAGATTCTAGCTAGAGATTGAAAATATTGTTGGGCTTTCGGAATACATAGCCTCAGGCCCAAAGCAGAAAACATGATTCAGGCCCAGTTATTTATTTTGTACATAGTTTGCAGTAGCTACTCTTTGTAATACTTAGCCAATTTATTTTGTAGCAATTGTTGTAATATGTACTCAATTTGTAAGACCTCTAGACCTGGTTACCGGGTTGATATAAATACATAAGGACGGGTTGATAAATACATAAGGGCCAAGCTGTATTAGGCAGGTCGTGCACTATTCAGTCATTTTTCTCGTGTTCTCTCCGTTACTATCTGATGGGAAATATCTAGAAGCCCTAAGCGACCATTAACAAATCCCTCCAATTTACTCGATTCTTCTGCTGTTGACATGGTATCAGAGTGGTGAATTCGTTAGTCCTCGTCTTTTTCTATCGAGCAGTGTTACCCCCATCAGTTTCTGCCAAGTTTTGATTTTCATCGGGGCTTTGTGATTTCTCTGATTTTCGGTCGAAAATTCATTTTTGTGGCTTTGACGTCTCCTATATGTCATCGGTAGTGTAGTGGTGCTGGTTTGATTTGAGATTTTCTAGTATTCATCGGAGTTTTTTATGTTCTCCTCCGACCTAGGGTTTTGCTGCAGTTAATCGGAGTTTCGACGGAGATATTTCTCACATATCCAGGCCTTTACTTCTTTAGGTCGCGAAGAAGGTTGTTATTCCTATTCCTTATCTGTGTAACTGTACCTGAATTGTTCATCATATAATGTAGTTCTAGGTGTGGCGAATTATTGTTAATTGTTTGTTAGGTTAAAACTTCTCCTTTGAATTGTTATGCAACTACATTTGCTACCATGACTGCTCCTATTGATTCTTCTACTGGTGCTAGTGAATCCTCTAAGTATACTCGAGATACTTCCTCCCCTCTATTTCTCCTCTCTTCCGATGTTCTCGGAGTGTCCCTAGTATTTGTTCCATTTCCAGGAACTAGTTTTGGAGGTTGGAGACGTAGTATGATAGTATCCTTGTCTGCTAGAAACAAAATGTGATGACCCAAAAGGTCATCTTATATTTTAAAACTTGAATTTGCGCTCTTAAGCCTTAAAAATCTTATTTTTATCCTCCTCGATATGCGTGCGTAGTCCGGACAGGTTTTCGGAAAGCTTTTATGTTAAAAATTGATGAAAATAAGAATTTATACCTTAAAAATTAATTTTAGTTGACTTCGATCAATATTTTTGGTAAACGGACCCAGATCTATATTTTGACGGTCCCTGTGGGTCCGTATCAAATTATGGGACCTAGGAGTATGCCCGGAATCAAATTCTGAGGTCCCTAACTCAAGTTATGAATTTTTTATGAAAATTAAAAGTCTAAAAATTAATTATTTTTAAGAATTGATTGGTGTTTGGCATTGTTAGTGCCGGGTCCGTATTCTGGTTCCGAAACCCGGAACAGGTTCATTATGATATTTAAGACTTG